CAACTGGTTCCTACGGCGGAAACAGGTCAATGTGAGGCTCCAGTGAAATGCAACGGGGTTTTAAGTAAAGCAGCAACTGACAGTGGAGCTCAGGTTTCCCCCTGGACCCTGAAGTATGGGAGCACATAGCTACTGAGTGCGACATGCAGTAAAAAGAAGGCACTGACAGAACATGGGGCAGAGATGAAGAGTAAAGAGAGAAGGAAAACAGACCAAGAAACGACAAATGAGAGTCTCAACAACAGAAAGAACAGTGGGTAAACTGCTTCAGACAGAGGAGGACTGACAGGGAGGAGGACGGTTACTGCAGTAGACAACATCTTTACATAACAAACTGCACAGACAACACTCCTTGTCCAGCTACTTCCACATAAAACACAATACGTGTGTCACAAAACTCCCAAAACCATCAGCTGGAGAAAGAACCAAACAGCCTGCTGGACAAATGTGATCAGACTATTGATCTTGTTAAAGCTGTTAAAAGATTATTGATTTTGTTCACTTTGAGTTTTAAAGGATACTGCATCAATTTAGCAGTTTTTAAAAAAAAGGCTCAGAACTGATGCAGCAGATTGTCTTTTTTTTATTCCACACCTCCTCCTTTACCAAAACCTGGTGCCTACATTACCCACAATCCACCACTGACAGTCTGACAGATTCTGGTGTGTGATGCTAATGTTGTCCAGAGCCTCAAGCAGAGATGAGGAGGGTCAGACTGTTTCAGGTCACTTCTTTTTAATGCCACACTGTTCACACATCGAGCAGAACTACAGCCCGACACCTGGAAATACTCTGATGGGCACAACCTCCACAGCTCCCCTCTAAACTGAAAAGAGGCCAAGCTTTGCTTGTTCAATGCTTCACCTCTATCTGACCTTGACAAGCGTCCTAACAGTCTGCTGTGTGGCGACTGCAGATATGACATCACTCACCTAGATGAGGAGCTGCCAAAGGAGGCCATCTGTGAGCTGTGAAGACTCAGCCCGCCAACACACACACTAACACTGCAGCAGCCTCCATGGGGAGTCTCCTCACTACGTTCTGTCTGAAACACACACCAGCATGCAGTGCAGACGAGCTCTAACGGGTGACAGATGTGTGTCGTCTGCAAAATGAAACCCACATTTCAGTCATTCTCAGCCGCCACATGATCTGGCCTAATGATACAAATCACTTAACGAGACATGTTGCTCGACAGTTTCCACGATCAGCAGCTGGATTTAACAGCTTCTGAATTCATATGTATCCTGTGGTTAGCTTGGATCCACACCACAGACAGCCTGCACTAGAGTTCGTGGCCCAAGATCCACTGTTTCACCAGGTCCAAACAAAGCACAGTGAACCAGGAGGGCAAACGAACCAGGGTCTGTCTGGAGCTGGTGTGAGAACACCTGTGTGCGCTTCTGGTCTGTGTCTGGTTGTCGCGGTTTGGACTACATGGCCTGGCTACAACGAAGGGAAACTGAGTGAACAAACATCACCAGGAGACAAAATACAGACTCCACCGGCCTGACAGTCTCCGGCAGATCTAATTACTAGACGTAGATCATCCTCACTCAGATGGAGATATGGCTTTAGCTGCAACCTGCAAACCATGCTAGAAACCGATTGCTGTTAAAGACAACTCGCCAGTTAATGTCCCACCATCTGCAAACTAAACACCACATAGAATATGAAAAACGTTCGGAGTCAGCGCTCTGCGTCGGGACCAAAGCACAAAGCATTAGTGGAATCATTCTGCAAAGCAACTTCAGTGTTTGTGAACTGTCATACCTGAACGCTTCAGTTTTATGTAAATGTGACCCGTTTTCCTTAAACCTTGTTTCAAATAATACCATAGGCAACAATTAAGATACTAGTTACGAGAGCGAATGTGGCTTTATTTATCACATTTTTCAAGGATGCAAAATATCGTCTGCTTATTGTTAACGACAACATTTAAGAAAATATCTGGATATCATTTTTTTGTCAATATCACACACCCCTATGCACAATGAAATAATGAAAATATTTCTAGATATGTACATCATTTTATTTTTCCAGTCACTTCCTCCCTTCCCTCTTCCTGCCCCCACTCCTTTTCCCCATCCTCTCACTTCTTCTGATCTCTCCTCCTTTCTTCTCTACGCTCCTTTTCTCCTCTTTTCAACACCCTCCATTCAGGCCGGCTATCCCTGCACTTCCTGTTCTCCATGTCCTTTCACTTCCCATCTCCTCCCGTGTCCTTTCCTCTCTCCAGCCCAGTTACCGAGTGGTGACATATTCGCACGACCAGTGACAAAGTGACGACGCTCACCGGCACAGAGAGGATGACGGCCTCCCTGCCAGCAGGTTGCTATGGTAACCACCGATCAATATATACACACACACACACACACACACAGTCAGGTAGAGAGAGAGGTCACCTGCTGTGGCTGATTTCCTGTGTGTGTGTGTGTGTTGGATACAGTAAGACCATGATCCTCCATGTTAGGCTCCAACTGTCAACACAATACAGTCACAGAGTAAAGACATTTAAAGCAGCTCTCTCTCTCTTCTTTGATTTGCTTTTATTTCCAATGGAAACAAAGATATTTTCCTGTTTTTTAAATCATTATTGTCCTAATTTTAGACAGTTTGTGATTAAAACTCAGTCTTCCTGACTTCTGAATGGACCGCTACAAGGGCTGAAATAAATAAATCAATAAATCATTTATTACAACTGCTAAGTCATTTATTCTGCATCATGTCCAAGTAGATGAGATTAATTTCATATATTACAGAAAACCACCATCAAAGTCCAACAGTAAACATGTTTCTCATTTTTGACTGTATTTAAGAAATGTTTGCATCTTAATTATGTGACACTGCAATATTTATCAGAAACTCTCTTAAAACAACAGGAAAACAGAGCAAGGCTTCTGCTGACGTCAGCAGTGGCTTCCAACCTGGACTGGTTATTGGTTTTATTTCAATTTAAAAAATTTAAAATCTTCTGTGAATTATTTTGATTTCAAAGACAGTCACAGTGAATATTCTTGGTTTCAACCACCTGTATTTAACATTTTAGCCACAATCATCATGTTTGATAATAGAACATTATTAATATTTTATCAATAGACTGATCAATTCATGGAATACATGCCAGTATAAAGCAGATAACTGGGAACAGCTGATGCTCCTGATAGATGAGAGCTCCATGATAGATGGAGATGAGATGAGCTTGTGACGCTCAGAGCGAGACCTGCAGCGATTTCCATCTCGTTGCTAGGAGCACCAGCAGCAGCTGGACGGACATGACAGCCAACAGCCTCCCTTCCTCCCCCTCCATCCATCCATCTTTTTCTGCCGTCCCTCCCTCTGTTTCAGTCTAAAATGTCACACTTCTCCCATTTCCAGGGCTACTTCCCTCTGCTCCTCACCTCCCACATCTTTCCATCCTTGTAGAAATGCAACACAACAGGGATGAATACTGACAGGCACAACCTCTTACAACACATCACTGTCTGCAGCTCCAACAACACCAACATCTTAGACACAAAGCTCACACATTATTTCCCTGTCTGTGATGTTCCTGTGTTTTGGTTTGTTTTTTTAACTGTTAAGGAGCGATATTGATATTTGCTTCAAATTCTCCAAGAAACCTCCAGGAATTCTCTGTTTTCCCCTCTTTCTTCTTGTTACTCACTTTAAAATCCCTCATACATTTATTTTGTCCCCTGGGAGGTCCTCGAGCCTCAGGTTGGAAACCCTCCTCTATACCACACCAGTTGTGTGTCTCTTAAACTTTACCTGTCATTTAACACTGAGGAGGCATTTTGTTCATGAGTGATTCCCCACTTTGTCTCGTGCACACTCACAAGGACACACATACACACAAGTGCACAAAGATGATCATGTCACTTTAGCTTTTCCTTTTCGCTGTCACCAAATGCTGCTCAAGGGGGATTTGTTGATTTTTCCTCACTTTGTAAAGTGTCCCGAGATGACTTTAGCTGTGATTTGGCACCACAGAAACAAAAATGAACTGAATTTATACCACTTATCCACAGACGGTGGTACCATGCCAAGAAATGCAGCAATGCACCAGCAAAGTCAGGGAGGAAGACGACTGTAAGACACGGACATAAACATAGACGGATCTAAAATATATAAAAATCTCAGCTTTAACAATCTTTCAGCGAGAAAGCAAATCACCAGACCTCAAAGATACACACACAAGAAAAAATCCTGAATACCACGTTGACAATGCAGCTGACTGATGTGCAACATTTCCCACCCAGTCGCATTGAAAACCCCAGCCAGGTAAGTCTGAATGTCGGTTAGCAGCAACCTCTTCTTTAACGTTTTCATTAAAAATGTGTGTGAGCTGTGGGGAGGACGACTGGCGTGGAGGGGCGTGGATCCATACGCCTCTAATCATCCCTGCAGTTGCTGACAGAAGCCAATAATTTTACATACAAGTGAACCAGCTACACACACACACACGCACACGCACACAAAAGCTGATTAGAGAGCAGCTGTGACCCAGAGCCCCAGAATCATTGTCACAGTGACAGATTGTTTCCTCAGCCACGGCTCTCATTATGACAGCAAGTCGCCTCGACAGGAAGATGGGCCACATCCAGCATGGTCACACACACACACACACACAAGTCCACCTTAAACACTAGTATTTCCCTGTGGGGTTCACAAAAACAAGAGACAGACTTCAAGAAAAAAAACACAGTTCTTCATAGTTTACCACTGAACAGTGTATCTGCGTGAGACACACACAAACACACACATCTGAACACACACAACCACATCTTCCTGCTTCATTTAATAGATCCAGGATGTGACCCCTACTGATGTTCCAGTCAGGTGATCGAGAAGACAGCCTCTGCTGATCGGGTGTTAATAACGGAAACTTGCAAATCAACAGGTCTAAACCTCACAAAAATGTGTACGCTGCCTGACAATAACAACACAGTTCACTGAGATGTGCCCATGGCATACACACACACACACGCCCATCCTACCTCGACTGTTGGTTGCCAGATCGGCCACTTTCTGAAAAGCGTCCAGGAAGGCGGCAACTGCCACGACCGTCATCCTGGGAGACACAACAGAGGGCGGTTTAGTTTACAGGTAGATCGCCTACAAAATAGTCGCTTCAATTTCTTTTGAAATTCTAGTTCTTGGAGCACTGATTCTGATGTGTTCAAAGACAGAGCAAAATATCACACTGAACCTTTTAATCATTTGTTTTGGATAATTTCCATATAGTATTTAATTTTTTTTTCATCACATTCTACTTTAATATCCACTTAAACACAATTAACTTTTGATATTTTCCTTGATTGTGGATTCAAATTTGATAAATGACATTGCAGTTCCATTTGATAAATTCACTGTATCTTACTGGCAGGCCTGCCTGCTGTGACTGGGCAGGCACGGTTTGCGTTTGGTGAAAGTTCTGCTATAGCACAGTAAGCTAACGCCATGGCAGGCATATGCTTCGACAGTTTGTAAATAAACAGTTTGAGGCATGTTTGCATTTTTACACTTCCTGTTCCATCGGCCCAAAGTCTGTGCTTTTTTGGGTTTTTGGTTAAGATGCATGAAATAAGGTCCTAAAATTAAACATCTTCATGTTTTATTTTATGATGTAAAATGTGATTTTTTTTTTTTAAAGCTTTTACGTGTCTCAACAGGCTGATGCTAACAAGAGGCTAACTGAGGAAGAATGAAGTGTTTGTAGTCGGCTTTGACCTCTGGTGACCTCTGGCCCAGCGCAGACCCTCTGGAGGCCGCTGCTGATCCGTCTCATTGACAGTGACTTCATGGTGGCGTCGTTAATCTCTGGCAGCCACAGAAGGTTAATTGAGTTGTACAGGTGTGTGTGTGCACATAGAGGTGGGTGTTAACGGCAGGAAGAGCTGATGCACTGGCTCTGAGGCAGCGACGTGCAAGAGTCTACAGTGTGTATATATGCACACCTTTCTACGTGTGCTTCTACGTGTATATAACCTTCTGTGGTGTGTGTGTGTGTGTGTGTGTGTGTGTGTGTGTGTGTGTGTGTGTGTGTGTGCGTACGTGCCCATGAACCACAGACGCAACAGAGCAGGAGAGGCGAGCTTGACATTTAAACACTTAATGAAACAAACTGACTGGATTTTCATGAGCTCAGGTTGTACACAGCGTCGATGTGTGTGTACCACTAGTGCACACATGTGTAATGTTTGAAACCCCAATGAGACGACTGAAATAATGTCGACCTCCGCAGAAAAGCATGAGCATATGACCCATCACCCACCAGTGTATAAGGACATGTTTAAAGTTAACTGTGGTGTAGCACTGAGTGCTCTGGTGCAAAGGCAACCAGGGTCACACAGGGACATAGAACTGTCCCACACAAACTAGTTTTGTGTTGTAAAGCAGACAAACAACACAAGAAGTGCACGTCTAAGCTATTTGTTGTATTTCTTTGGTGTTGTTGATAAATGTGCTTGTTTTTGTTTGTTTGTATTTGACCTGTTTTTAAAATGCGACACACATCAAAGCGTTTTTTTCACTGGCTTGTGTTATTAGTGTGTGGCCCCTCATGTTGTCTGTACCCACCAGTGGTGGTGCAACTGTGGAAGCACGTGTGTGTGTGTGTGTGTGTGTGTGTGTGTGTGTGTGTGTGTATATATATATGTGGACGTGTTTTTCCTGCTACGTGGGGACTTCTTCCTGACTCCATACCAACTCATGAGGACCCATTTCACGGTGGGGACCTAAATTGAGGTCCCCATGGGCAAGAAATTGAATTTTAGGGTGGTAACATGGTTTAGGGTTAGGTTAAGGTTAGGGTCAGGTTTAGGGTTAGGCAAGTAGTGGTTCTGGTTAAGGTTAGGGTTAGTCTACAGGAAATGCATGTAAGTCAATGTAATGTCCCCATGGACTACGAAACATAAACTGTGTGTGTGAGTGTGTGTGTGTGTTACCTGAGCTGCGACTGTAGCTTGCTGGCTTTACTGATGAAGTCGTCCCAGACGGGGTAACTGCCCTGAACAGGACGGAGAAGAAAACAGGAGTGAATTCCCATGAAAATGACACATTCTCCACGGCACAAACTTCAACATCAGCTGCGCAGCAGTGACTGTATAAATACAGAGACATGATTGTGTTATTATGGACAGTTTATAATGAATTCCTAGTCATTATTCTTATTCAAATTTTATTTGTATAGCGCCAAATCACAACAAAAGTCATCTCAGGACACTTAACAAAGTAAGGTCTAAACCTCACTGTTATTATAGAGGAACACCCAACAAATTCCCCCTGAGCAAGCACTTGGCAACAGCGGGGAGGAAAAACTCCCTTTAACGAAAGAAACCTCCGACAGACCCCGGCTCTTGGTGGGCGGCCTTCTGCCTTGACCGGTTTGTGTGATGGATTATCTTGGCAAAGGAGAAGTGCTCACTAACACAGATTTAGACAGATTTGTGAACAATATTTGAAAGAAATAGGCCTTTTGTGTACATAGAACAAGTCGTAGATCTTTGAGTTCAGCTCATGAAAAATGGGGGCAAACACAAAAGTGTTGCCTTTATAATTTTGTTCAGTGTACTTTAGGTGGTCGGGGGACAGACAGTCTCTATGGGCTACTGGGAGTTTTGGGTGCAGAGACACAGAGAGGCATGTAAGACTGTGACCCTGTGTCCTGGTCTCAACTTTGGGTTGTCATAATTCAGGTTGTAAAATAAACTAGTCCATATTTCTAGATATGGGAGCTGCACCATCCAAAGTGGGATGGATGTCATCTCTGCTAATCAGTCCACATTTCCTCAAAATGTTTTCCAGTTGTCTATGAAGCCCACATCGTTTTCTGGACACCACCTGTCGTCAAAGGTCAGACTGGGGATGGGTCCAGAGAAAACTACAGCGTCTGACATTGTTTTAGCAAAGTTACGACCGACTCAACATTAATTTTAGGGACCTCAGACTGGTGAAGTTATCGCCAATGTCACTAACAACATTACCATATTTACGCTTATCCTTAGTCAGCAGCAACAGACAGGAATCGATGTCGCCTGCTCCGGCCCCAGAAATACATTTGACTATGGCCGCCAGTGTCTCTAGTTTCATGCTTCTGACTATGGAGTCGCCAATTACCAGAGTTGTTTTCTCAAACATGCAGGTGATGCACCATGGGCATTTGTTTCAAGCGAAGACTCTTGCCAACTGTCCCCCAGCCACCTGGCTGAGATCCCGACTGATTGGGAAGCGCTGGGGGCGGCGTCTGTTAAAGGTTCCGGGAACAAATGATGGCAAAAGACTAAGTCGTGAGAATGTGTTGCTATAATCTGAAACCTTCACAAATGTGTCAGTGACCAGAAAACCAGACAGGTCACGGCGGCCACTGTCCTTCGTTATGATCAGGATCTGTGCTGAAACAGACTGAATGCACTAGTGTGTCATTAGGTGGCACCAGTATTAATTAAATGTCTGAAAAAGAAACACACCAAGGCTGGTGTGACCCATAGAGCAAACAGATCAATACCATTGATCCATATGCCCCACCTACTCCAGCCCCTCTAGCAAAAGCCAAACAAGCGCCCCCCGGCATACAAATACAGTTTGGGTCCTGTGACCAGGTTCAATAGGAGACAAAGTGGGAGAAGCCAAATGCTGCAGCTGGATGCCTGTGCAGGAAGCTGGCTGCATGGAGGGAAACGCTGGGCCTCTGCAGAAACAAGCTCTGCTTCTAATGTCAGCAGGAGGCCCCCGATGTTTTGGGGTGGGTGGGGCCTTTTTTTCTGCAGCAAAAGATCTAAAGCGTCTTCACTCAGTGGATTCTGTAGTCTACCCTCAGGATTTACTCTTTTTTTTTTTTTTTTTACCACTGAAACTCTCACGAGAATCCTGCCAATAAAACACACGTTCATGCCTTGCATATGAAACCTGATCACATGACCACTGCTATACTGATGTTGTATACAGAGAAAGGACAGCCACAATAACTTCATAACATAATGTGCACAGCTTTAGACACTGAGCTTCAGACAGTAAAAGTTGAATCAACAGCAACTTTGTGTGTCACTGTGCTTTAAGTGTACTTCACCAGCCTGGGAGGCCTCTTTTTCATGCATAATCTGACCCCCAGCTCTGGAAGCTTTTGGAGCTCAGTCAGAATTAGTCTAAGTAATAATAAACCAGTGTTACATGTTCCCAAACGCACGGATTCTTTCCCCTGATGCAGTAATACTTAGACAGAGCCACAGGCCTTGGTGCTTTCAAATAATGGGGCATTATTTTGTGAAAATTCAACAGAATCCTGTACAATATTAGGAAGCACAAAGCCTTTTCACCACATATTGACGGGCTCAGGGTGTGAGGAGGCAGCTGCAGCTGCAGCTTTGGACGCTTTGTCTCTTCTGCCACTTACAACACCTGAGCAATACATTGGACTCCAATGGCCTGTGACGGATGTTACACCATGTCTGAGCACGTTGGGGTTTTTAACTTGTGTGCATTATGTGCACTTTAATGGAAAAATATATTATTTTAACACAACACTCACATCCCGTATGTACGTTAAGAGAAAAGGTCGAGAACTAAATCCACGTTTTGGTGTGCAAATACATTCATTATGTTCTAGTGTTTTAGTAGAGTCTGTGTTTGGGTTTCCTTACTGCCTCATGGTGGAGGGATACATCCCACTGCCCTCAGGACGAAACAGCAATACACCTCCAGTACACACAAAGACTAGGATGAAGATATCAGGGGCGGAAGAAGCACTCACATGTTATGCTGAAGTCAAAATAGCATGACCACATTGTAGAAATACAATTTCTGCATTTGAGATTTTACTGAAGTAGAAGTACAAGTCTTAGCATCAAAGCAGAGATGTAGGAAGAAGCATCGTGCTCTGAGCCACTTCAGACTTATTATATTACTGATGACTGCATTAATGTGTGCATCACAGTCATTTTAATTACTGTGTAAACTGCTGGGTGATTACTGAGCCCCACCCCAGGGACCAATAAGGTCTTATTTTAATCTAAGATCATTATTTATTTGTTGATTACATTTGAATCTGCACTGCACCTAAAGATATACTGTATATTAGAAGCAGTGGAGACAAAGAAAATGGAAACTCATGTGCAAGTGCAGTACTTGCTTCAGTGTACTCAGACTGCTGATGCCTCAGCTCAGTTTAACAATGCATTATTTCACAAACTGTGTGTGTTGTTGGCTACATGGGGACATCTTCATGATCACCATGCGGCGGTGGAAGCACAGTTACAGTGACCAGTTACTCTCAACGTCACAGGACGTACTGAAGCTGCACCCAGTTTCCCTCTGCAGGACGTCACCGGGCTTCGATCCCAGCATGTCGCCTTTCCTCACCAGCCTCATCCCGCTCTGACAGCGCAGCCCAGCTGGGTGTGTTCAGCCTCCTTCCGTTTGATGCCCGGTGTCATCGCCTGGATACCGTTTCTATGGTAACGCTGCTGCTGCAGCTGAGCTTCAGACACAAGGATTTGTGGAGAGGGGAGGGTCACACCTGTCTGCATCCTGACCCCAACACACACACACACACACACACACACGTCTGTTCTTCTGTCAGTTCATCTTCCTGCTCTTCATGACTCATTAATCATGCCTTCTATATTTATATGCCCATCGCTCATTACCTCCCCTGTCTCTGTGCTCAGACACACACCGAGTGAGGGCATGGCCACTCCATCTATCGGTCACTGAGAACATAAACTGTCACCATGGCAATGCTCGGCAGCGGCAGCCCACCACTGTGCTTGTTTGGCTCTATGAGCTACTGCACAGCTTTGAGCAGAGAAATCCCTGTTTGCTTCTTCTTTATCAGTGATCGTGTGAGAAAACAACAGAAATCTCCCCAAACTTCAGCGACTGTTCCTTCGTGGCGTTAAGGCCAGTGAATTCACTCCAGATTGTCCTGTCTTCTGTGAGGATTTTTGAGCATTAGAAATGAGATCGGCCATCTCTCTAGGGGGTTCCAGCTCAACTCGCACTGAGGATGTTACACCACCAGCATCGCAAACCTCTCGGCTACCAGGACACATCACCAAGTAGGTCTTCGTGGATTTGATACTGGAGGAATGTCAAGCAGGTAGTGCCGATGAAAGGAAACAGCAGGGTGGATGAACCGACACCTCCTGCTACCTGTCATTAACGCAGCTAAAATGTGGCCGGCTTTTTTTGAACCCATCCTCCAGTAACTCCAGCAATCTGTGGGGTATTAGAAACTGACAAAAAATAAACCCAGTGGATTTCAGCTGTTAAGAACAGGGCCGACACCACGTCAGAGCTCCGACAGAGAGCAGAGCGCAGAAGGATCCCAACAGGTCGCTCTCCACAAACAAACAGAAAGTGACCCGTCTGCCGAGGTGATGACGCCAGTGCACTCGCCCTGTCCGTGAGGTTTCCATGACAGCGTTGTTGATACCGATACAATGGTTTCAACTACCGCTGCAGAGGAGAGTGGGATTATTTTAGCTGGGAGGTAATTACGCCGACGGCTCAGTCCAAGATAAACAGTGATTAGCATTCAGCTAATACGCTCAGTGCCACTAGTTTAAACCACACACACCCTGGCTGTTTGGCAGCAACAGTGGGGGTACAAGGTTGCAGCAGTTTTCACCACAGCCCTTTTCACAGATGTTAACACATTTGTTTCAAATCCGTGCTGATACAATACTCTGCTTCCTGCCAGTCAACTGATCTCACAGGAAGAAAAGCATGTCTGCTGTGGGAAACTGTCCCTCCAAGAAACGTGGCCTCACCTAGGACCATGCTGTGAGCTGGACGGCTGCTCATGTTGCAAATAATATTCTGTCCAAAAACCGACTGCTGGCACTTTTTATAATCAACTCATTTAACAGAAATAAATTTAAATGATCTAATACACATGCTGGGCGGTATGTTGGAGCAGTGGTTAGCACTGTCACCTCACAGCAAGAAGGTTCCGGGTTCTGGACTGTTACCTGTGATAGGGACTTATTAATTAAAATCTCTTGTGTCCTCGCGCATTTTTCCTCCAGCAGTCACTTCAGTCCTCGCTCGACTGGGACGACTTCTGGGTTGGGTGAGGAGCAACCAGATAAGAGAACTGGGATTTACCCTTAGTGTTGTCTCCTGAGCAGAGCCCAGATGTAGTCCAGCAGCCAAAAATGCCCAGAAGTAAAACCCATGATGAGTCGATTTCATCCCTGATTGTCTCCACTTTAACCTTCTCCAGCTTAATTTACTTCTGTTAAAACCAGGGTTCATTGGAAGCTTAATGACTTTGGGTGGAGAGAAGCACCTGTTCCTTTGACCGAAGGTATCAGCTGACAGTTTGCAGCTGAGACCGTACGACTGTGGAGATTTTGTTTCTTGAAGGATGTTAAGTCAGAACTTTTAAAATGTGACAGTCCTTTTCCTCTCCATAGGCCGGACACACCTCATGTCGCTGTGTGTCCTCAGCAGCTTGGTTTGGGGCTGCGGCTACCAATTGTTTGTTAAAGAAGTATTTTATGGACCGACACCCTTTCATTGGTGATTGGACACTTTGGATGAAGGACATGAGGAAAGGACATCTAGAAAACATGTTTCTTCAGCTCCTCTCTCCTCACATCTTACATGGACAGGACACAAGGAAAAGACAAATGAGGGAAACATGGACACGATTAAGGGAATGGGGATTTACCTCAGTGCAAGTTCCGGGTACTTTCTGGGACGGAACGGATTCAGTGTGTTGTCATATGACAGGGAGGATGACTACAACAAACACAGCACAGCTATAGTTTCTCTTTCATCTGTGTTAACTAGTAGAACAAACTGTTTACACACAGTGCAGCCCTGTGTTTGCCCCTTTAGTGGGATAATCCAAACCTCTTCCGTTCCTGCAGTATATCAGACACACAAGCAGATGTTTGATCCCGGCTTCATTAACCCCGTGTTCACATGCTTTCCCTTTCATTAAACACAAAGATTGGAGGATGAATGAAGTCACCTGACTCTGCAGCCCGACTGTACAAACACAGAGACAAAAGCTGTGCGTGTCAGAGACAATGAGAGGCAGCAGACTGGAGTCTCCACAGTGACAGGAAAATCTCTCCACCCACACTGAAGGAAAACCTGCGCCTGAGAGTCATGTGTGCAAATTCAACAGCAGGCTGATTTATGGAGTTAGGAGGCTTCAGCCAACGATGAAAAGGCAGAATTACATTTAGTGTTGTCGCTGTGAGTCTCATGTGTGTTTCTAAGACCTGATGACAGTGGTATGGTTATGTCACAGATTTATTTTGGTAAACACATTCAGAGCTCCCCACCAAGATACACAATGACATGCACCACAAATGTGGGTCATTTTTCAACTTTGAGAAAATCTGTCTTATGGAGGAGACAGTGAACCACAAACAGCCTCAATGAGGAAGAGGAGCAGAAACTAGGAGGGGGAGGAAGAGGAGGACCAGAGGGAAAAAAGAGGACAGAAAGGAGGATGAGGACAAGGAAAAGGAGGAAGATCCGCAGGAAAGCAACAAGGAGGATTTTGGTAGACAGTAAAGGAAGATAAGAATGAGATGAAGAAAGGATGAAAAAAGAAAAATAAAATTACAAGTGGGCAACAAGAAAAGAGAAAAAGAAAATGGGGGAGGCTGGTCTGAAAATAGAAGGAAGAGGAGGAGGACTGAGGAGGAAAAGAAGGCAGGGGAACTAGGAAAGGAAAATGAGAGTGAGGAAGAGAAAAATAAGAATGAGAAGAAGAAAAGGAGTAGCAGGAGGAAGAATAGAAGGAACTCTGAGGAAAGGAAGAGCAGGTGGCAAGGAAGAGGAGAAAGAGATGGGAGGAGAGGGAAGAAGATGATGATGATGATGATGAGGAAGAGGGTGTGGCAGCTCTTCCTCTGTGAGCCAATCATGGTATCTATCCAAAACCACCTGTCTGTTATTATGTCACAGCTGAAACAGGTGCACGTGAGTGACTGCACGGTGCGCCTCCCCAGCGCACACACAGCTGGTTGATGTGCACCAGCCCTGCACGCGATTACCCTGAACTGTCTCACCGGTGTCTGTCCCCGGACAGGAGCCGAGTCCATACATGGTTGACGTTACGCGCACACTGGAGCAAAAACTGTAGCTACAAACTGCCAGTCGCTTGAAAACAGGTTCAACTGGGCCAAACAATAACGGTTTCTGTCACATCATCATCATCTGCAGACCGTCTTCTCAACGAGAACTTAATCATAGGTCGGTTATAACATCTGGAAACATCTCCAGATGTTTACAGTGACCAAATCCTCACATTCCTGAAATGGAACCAGCCACTTGTTGATATTTTCCCTGACTAATGGCAAAAAGGGTCAAAAGAGATGAATTCTCCATCAATCGATTAATGGAAAAGGTCAGAGAGTGGTGGAAAATGCTGATCACCGTTTGCCACGAGCCCCTAAAGCCCGACGTGACGTTTCCATCACTCATTTTGTCGAAATATTCTGTTTAGGATCATGCAAGACAAAGAAAAGCAGCAGAGTCCTGTCGGGTCATTTATGCTTGAAAAATTACAATTAACTATCAAAACAGTCGCCGGTTAATTCTCTTGTGATCAACTAATGGGTTAATCATTCAGCTGTTGTATTTATGCTCCTTAAACCATATTCCTGTGCGCTACTGTGCAGCGGATTTGACTAAGAAACGATGAGTTTCAGTTACTGTTCTGCTGCAGCACAATAACAAAAGCAAAAGCAACCTGTGCACAGCTCGTTCGTTATTCAGCAGCTGCCTCTGAACCCAAATCAGTCCCAAACATCGCTCCCGTAATGAAAAACGCTGTGAAACCTTCCTGCACTCGGGAGCCGCTGGCCTGACGCACTGGCACAGCCTGCGTCGGCCTCCCAGGACGCTGTAGCCCTGCTGGGAGGACGCTGCGGGCTGTCAAGCCTGCAAACCTGGACACACCCACCTCTCGCCCCTTACTCCCCCTCCTGGATAATTAGCAACCTAATGACGACGCCAGGAGACCTGGAAAAAGGCGAAACAAAGCGGCTGCTCTTCCTGGTTCTGTGCAGCAGGCTCAAAAGGAGCCTGCGGGCTGATGCCGGAGCCCTGTCCGGACTGTGTCACGTGTGCGACACCGATTTTAATCAGAGATCAGCAGAAATAGTCACGTTCCTTCATGTTACCTTCATGTCTCCGATGACAGTCTGGAAAAGCCCCCCCAGCGCGCTGCACTCCCTCTCCATCACCGTCTCCATCTTCGACTGCGTGAACGGAAATTACAAACTGTCTCCCTTGGAGCTCCTGTAGTCCATAAATGAAGTGGCAGGAAACAGAATGATTAAGGGGGGGGGGC